TACTTCATTAACCACTTTCTCATTTAAAATAAAAGTTTTAAAAAATAATATATAGGTCTATTACCCTTCCCCCTTCCCCCCAATTTATTGTAGGTTGTATCTTAAATTGTTTTCCTACAAAGTAATAAAATGTAAATGTGGGTTTTAGGGATGCTAATGTTTCGGGATGGCTGAGCATGAATTCCCAACCAGTTCTGGGCTGAGGGGCCCAGGAGGAGGAAGCTGTAAGAACCGAGTGGGAGGCGGGGAGGGGAAGGGAAACAGAAGTTCCCTATTGTTCTACTTTGAGAAAGCTGCAATTGAGGAAACCATGTGATTTGGTGCGAGCAGACCTTCAGGAGGGAGTCAGCGCAGGGACTGTCCGGAGGGAGCTCTCAAGTGAGCGGGCCCCAGGACAGTTTCTGCAGGTACAGAGAGGAAGGGAGGAGCTCAGCTCTGCTGGTTCCCCCGCAGGGTATACGACTCCAGCTCTGGGAAGCTGAGCTTCCCATCTGCTGAGACCCATGTGGAAAGCGAGCCAGGAGATGACACAGGGGAAAGGGCACAGCTCCCTATGGAACCTGGTGGAGTAGGGCCCTGAAGGTCCTCAGAATGGGGGTCACATTTGTCCCCGGCAGGATTTTCCACTGTACAGTGATAACCAGTGGTAGGCAAGGGTTCCCACGCATTAATCTATTGATTTTGTGAAATGGGGAGTAGCGGAGCTCCAGGGTGGAAAGGTTTCATGAAAGAAGGTGACTTGGATTTCATGTCTTTGGATGGAAAATCTGACTTTTGATACATTTGCAGGAAGACTGACCCCAGCAGGGGTTCTGGGGCCACTGGGAGATTCACAGATGGAGGATTGGGTGAAAGGTGAGGCATACATGAGGATGCTTAGCGGGTGGCCAACCGGACTTCTCAGACAGACAGAATTTGAGACAGAATTTTGCTAAATAGTTAAATTGCCCAGACTGAGCTCGGACTTGCAATCCTCCTGCCTCAGCCTCCCTAGGATTACAGGCATGTGCCACTGTGCTTCATTATTTGTTGAATGAATGAATGTATGAAATAATTACAAATAAAATGTTTTTAAA